TGCCTCGTCTCCGAGGCATGGCTTCCCGTGTCCTTGTCTCTGGTCTACCCCGGTCCCTCCCTCCCCTTCCTCCGGGGCCTGGTCCTTCCTGTGTCCCCTGTGTCGAGGGGCGGCTCCGAGCTGCCCCTCACTCCTCTCAGTTTCCCCCGACAGAGGCCCCGCTGCAGACGCTTCACATGGACGTGTGGGGCCCGGCCCGCGTCCGTGGACAGGGTCACGAGCGCTACTTCTTGCTGGTGGTTGACGACTACTCGCGTTACACCACAGTCTTCCCCTTGCGCAGCAAGGGTGATGTCGCTGAGGTGTTGATCGACTGGATTCGCGCAGCTCGTCTCCAGCTCAGGAGGAGCTTCGACTCGGACTTTCCTGTTCTGCGTCTGCACTTTGAACGAGGCAGAGAGTTCTCCTCTGGCCTTCTGCGAGCCTACTATCGTGCGCGAGGCATCCGCCAGACCTTCACGCTTCCGGACTCTCCACAGCAAAATGGGATTGCTGAGCGCCGCATTGGCATGGTCATGGACGTCGCTCGTACGTCCATGATGCATGCGGCTGCCCCCCATTTTCTGTGGCCATTTGCGGTTCGGTACGCGGCGCATCAGATCAACCTTCACCCCAGGGTCTCCAGACCGGAGACCTCCCCAGCCTTGCTGTGGACGGGGAAGGTCGGCGATGCGTCTGCGTTCTGTGTCTGGGGATCTCGGGCGTTTGTCCGCGACTTGTCTGCGGACAAGCTGTCCCCTCGTGCTGCTCCCTGTGTCTTCCTTGGCTTCCCCCCTGACGCCCCTGGGTGGCAGTTCTACCACCCCACCTCTCGTCGTGTTCTGTCCTCCCAGGACGTCACGTTCGACGAGTCAGTACCCTACTACCGCCTCTTCCCCTACCGCACTCCTTCCCTCCCCCCGCCACCGCACTTCCTTGTGCCATGTCCCCCCCCCCGGTAGACCCCCTCCCCCCTCAGGGTCCTGCCCCTTCAGGTGTGGTCAGTTGCGTCTTGCGTACGTGGCCTCTAAGGCCAACACTGCTGATATCTTCACCAAGGCACTTGCGCCTTGTGATCAACAGCGCTTCTGTACATTGCTTGGTCTTGTGCCTGTCTTGCCTCACTTGCTCACCTCTTGACCTTGCTTGTACTGTTACATATATATACACCTGCTCTTGCTTGTCTAGCTTTCTATATATATGTACTCATGCATGTGAACTGGCCTTGTGGCCTTGAACTTGTGCTCGGAATGTGTGGTGACTTTGTGATCCACCCTGAGCTTGCTTTGCTTTGCTTTGCTTGACTGGTCTTTTGACCGCTTGTTCTCCCCCACTTTGCCTATGGGGGTGTGTCAGGACATTATAGCTTATGCTTTTGTGTAGGGTGTAGTGGGGTAGCCCATATGGGGTACAACCCAATTAGGGTTAGTACTTGTACCCAACTGTTTCATAGTTCATCCTTTTCTCGTTCTCATTTTCTCAACGCCCCCTCCGCAAGATCGACGTCTCCAACGCCTTCCTCTACGCGATTGTAGACACTATCATCTACGTCAAGCAGCCGCACGCCTTCGAGGAAGACGGCGACGCCATCTGCCTTCTCCGAAAGTCCCTCCATGGCACCAAGTAGGTGCCACGCCTGTGGAAGCAGTACCTCCACACCGTGCTCATCGAGCTCGGCTTCCAGTAGCTTCCCCACGATCAGGGGATGTACCGCCACGTGTCGCGCGGCAGTTTCATCCTGCTCGTTGCCTACGTGGACGACTTGCTTTATACTGGGGACAATAGGGAGCGGCTTGATTGCTTTGAATATGACATCAAGGAGAAGCTGGAAGTGGCCATCGATCACGACGTCCCTCAATTTCTCGACCTCAGCGTCACTCAGACCGCTGACGCGATCCACCTCTCCGGCGCGAAATACGCGGAAACCCTCGCTAAGAAGTTCGGCATCGCTCCCGTCGGCATCACCGCCCTGTTTTGCACTCCTCACCCTAATCACGAGCCCGATACCACCCCACTCTTTCCGGCCGACCATCGCTTCTACCAGCAGCAGCTCGGGTGTCTACTGTTCGCCGCTGTTACATGCCGACCGGACCTATCCTACATCGCCAGCCAGCTTACCCACTACCTGCGCCGACCTGAAGGGGAGAACATGGCAGATCTGCGACGCGCCTTTCAGTATTTCATATTACGCCCGATGTCGGCCTCACCTACAAGGAAAACTTAACGGCTACTCTACAGCTCACCGGCTACGTGGATGCGGATAACGATGGGGTCGCAGATAACAGGAGGTCTCGCACAGGCTTCATTTTCAAACTCGAGGCTGCAGGGACCATCTCCTGGAACTCACAGAAGCAGGAGCTCATCACCCTTTCGTCAGCAGAAGCAGAATTCATCGCAGCAAGTGCAGCAGTTCACGAATGACTCTACCTCATGGAGCTCCTGCAGGAAACGAAAACGGCGATGAACGGGTCCTTCATGTTTCGTACGACAACCAGAGTGCGATTATAATCGCAAACAAGCCGGATTTCGTTAACCGCACGAAACACATCACCCTGCGTTACTTCTTCGTCAAGGACGAAACCGACAAGGGGAAGGTCCAACTCACCTACTACCTGACTGGCGAAACGGCAGCTGATTTTCTGACGAAGAAACTGCAAAGTCAGAAGTTCCAGTACTGCTCGGACCTGTGTGGAGTTGTCCAAAAGAGCCTCGTGGCGCATCTCCAGGAATGAAGGGGCGTGTTGGAATATGGAGGGAATTGAGTTAAGCATTCTCTTAGGTACAGCTGTACCGCACCCGTCATTATCGAAGCAGCGCTAGCAGCAGTATTGGATCAGCCCGTATCAAGGGCAGGAAGGTAAACATTCGCAAGAGTCAACTGTCGCGATTGTTGACCATCTGGACCGACGATAAACTTACCATCGAGGAATGGCAACAGGCGTAACTGTCTGTACGGTGAAATGCAGCAACTTGGTAACAAGAAGAAAATGCTAGATCTATTTATTATGTGTGTAATCTATGTTTTAATCAACTTTGTCATTTAAATTTACAATGATTAGAGTTCTTACCACAACAATTCCGTTACCGTCAGCCCCCGGATAGGAGCGCCCCTGGGGATATAAAAAAACACTGGTTTTTAGGGGGTGCGCTTATAATCGAGGATTTGTATAAGCGCCGCGCTTATATAATGACATTTACGAAATGCGTATTTCTTACACCAAAATGTAGATCACGTTCTTGTAATTTGAATCGAGTCGAAACTATACAGGGCTAGAATTGAGAATCTCGCGCAAGCTGGCAGGGAATGATTCCCTGCCAACACACACAGTCAGAATGAGTCAGCTTTCGCCGCTGACAGCTCATTCTGACTGGACGCGCAGGCAATGAGCCGAGCGAGGTGAAGGGTATCGAAATTCAAAATGTGGGAATGGAAACGTGAGTTTCGTTACAACGATTTCAGTACAATTATTACAAAAACAAACACGGGGTGGCGCTTATAATCCGTAAGCCTTCAGGGGTGGGCTTATAATCGAGGACCAGATATAAGCGCCCTCATCCTTTTATAAGCGCTTGCGCTTATCCGAGGCCTGCGCTTATACCGGGGGCTTACGGTACCAACTCTCAAAGGCATTCCTAACCTATTCAAAAGATCCTTACTCTAACAGAACAAATAACGAAATGTGTTACCTTCTGTGCAGTTAGAGTAGTTCCTGCGGCTCGTATCAGATTGGCGCCGAACTGCACTAAAACGTATTCAACCGCAGCCGAACGCATTGAAACGTATTTCACCATACGAAGCTGATACGATCTGTGTGTGATACGAGGTATAGGAACACGCTCTTACAGCGTGTCCCTACACCTCGTATCAGGCTCACACTGAAAATACCCCTAAACCCGAAACCTCTCGCAAGTTTACCAGGCAAAAAGTACATTCTTGATACGAGGTTTCCTCATGTGAGGCCGTAGGAACACGCCCTTAGTTAGCTGAAAAACAGGATCTTGCAGAAGCATTGAGGACGAACCAATGTTCCCTGTGTGAACACTATTTTGGTGTTGAGAGAAAGCTCTTGCTTAGACAAAAAAAAAAAGTAATCAGCTCATTTAGCTCCCCCCCAAAAAAGAAGTAATCAGAAAGCTCTTCTGGATTAGAAGAAATCGTTTTAGTGTCATTTTAGTTGGCACATGCGTATATAAAAAGAAACTGGATTGGAACCCTTGAATAGCTAGCTGATGGATACCCTCACCACACGAAGTCGATGCCACATGGCAGAGAAGAAGACTGCCACGCTGCGATGGGGTTCGATACGCTCCACCGTCAGATTCACCTTGCTCAATTCCCAGGAGATCAATACGCGGCATGTCCAAGACCCTCCATTAGCATCACCTCTCGTCTCCCCGAGCTCTTTCCCGCGTGATACTGGGGACCATTTGCAGTGACCTGCGTGACAAAAATTGTGACTGGCTGAGCGAATTGTCGGCTGGCGTAACATGCCACCCAAAATCGCGAAGTGGCGAAAAATATAACCTCACAATGTGCGAGTTTCGCTAATCCGGAAGCGGGTGGGCCGATTGTTAAAACAGTTTTTGGGGTCGTGTACAGCTGCTTATGGGAGTGTACTGGGGTTCAGATCCACAGGGGTTCCGTAGATGGTCCGCGCTGGTCCGCGCTAAGCCACTGCTGCCAAGCAGTTTTTTTGGCGAACACCCCCTGAAATGATCAGCTGGCATGCAGAACATTTCACAAGCAGCAATTTCTTCTTGTCTTCACACCAAATCCCATTCAGTTTTTTTAGCTGAAGCTTGAGCGTGATTATTTTGTGACAGGAGAGCTCAGAGATTCCGGTCTTGACGTGTGAGGCTTTTACTTAGTAACTTTGAGCTTCCTTTGTGCATATTTGTCCGTCACAATGGCGGCCCAAACTGTCGTCTCCTCGTCGCTCGCTTCGCCAGCATTCGCCGTCGCGAATGTCTCTTCGCAACAAAATGTTAAATCGCGTCTGAGCCTAGTGGCACGTCCGGCTATGCGGATTAACCGGCAGACGGCCGTCAGCCGGTGCCGGCTATCAACTCTGACGGTGCGAGCCGCGTCTGACGGTCAAGCGGCAGCGGAGACGGCTGAACCACAGTCGGCGTCGTTCGATGCGTCGCTCGTGAGCAAGAACAGCGTCGTGGTGCCTGACTCGGAGCTGAGCATCACCAAGGTACGCGTTAAATAGCGAGAGGAGGATCAAAGAATGTGCACGTTGTAAGCGACACGAACCAATGTACGCGTAATAAGAAAGCAGAGGAACCACGATACGCGTTGCGGTTGACCAGTAGCAAGTCAGAGTCATTTAGGTCAACGACTTTCTGCCCGAATACGCGTTGTAAGCAAGCGGAGCGACACCAGTGCACGGGTAACAAGCCAGCTACGCAATCAACATACTCGACAATGAGGTCAACGGCACGGTAGGCACAGTGCACTGACCCACCATAGGTCGCGACCATAACACAGGGACAGTACTGCGTGCCAAAGCTTATCAACGTCAAGCTACATATATACTGGGCCAATTAGATTCCGTCCTTAGCAAAATTACCCGAGCTGGGCATTCAGCAAATGCCCCACTGGTTACCTAGTTCTGCGATTTAAACTGAAACATGGGACTCCTTTGAGGCGATTCATGTCAGCAGCTGAAACGCAGCTACGCAGAACTAGGTACGTACCTTGATTATGCAATCGAATCAGATTCTGTTATTGAGGGCGAACTAGGGTGCGCGATTGAATGCGGATCAAGGTACTCGATTGACGACGAACCAAACTGTGTGTTTGAAGGCGAGTAGCGATTCGCGATTGAAGGAGAAGTAAAGCGCGTGACTGAAAGCTAGTAAGGTACGAATGAGGCCGTGTAAAGCGTGGAGAGGTTGTGCTCCCTTCCCTGCTTTCTCTCACCCCTCTTTCAAATCCCCCTTCTCTCTTCGCTCTCCCCTCTCTTCCTCCCCTCTCTTCCTCCTCTCCCTTCTCTTCCATTTTCCATTGTCCCCTCCCTTCTCCCCAGACGCCTTTCGGCACCGTTGGCCTGACAGGGGGTTCTGCTGCTCATCCAGGCTGTCCAACCACCAGCACACAACGCGCCTGCTCATTTCACTCGTGATCCGTCTCTCCCCCCCCCTCTCTCTCCCTCTCTCCCCTCGGTCACTTCTGTCCAGACGTCGTTCGGCACCATCGGCCTGACGGTGGGGCTGCTGCTGCTGTCGTACGGCTTTGGCGCCTACTTCCAGTTCCTGCCGGGCTCCGAGTCCTCCGCCCTCATGCTCACCTACGGCTTCCCCACTGCGCTCATCGGATTCGCTCTCAAGGTACGAGCTCAATTTATTGTATGCTCTAATATACAACAGTTGTGATATTACTCGTGCTGGTTGATTGGCGGGGCATTCAAAGGGCTCCAAGTGGCCCTCCGTCATTCGGCCGTGGCTTCAAACGGCTCGCAATGATTCATTACATATGTATCTTCTATCCTCGTCCATTTGTTTCAACATGCACGTGGTACATGCAAGGGGTTGACAGTGGTTCCATGCTCACTGTGCATGGCGCCCTGGTCATCATAGACTGTCTTGTACTGGAACCCGCTACACGCCCCCGTCTCAGCATCATCACTCTGACTGAACTTATGCCTCCATTCCTCCCCATGTGGCTTGTGCAGTATGTGGAGCTGCTTATGAGTCGAATCAAAAGCACCATTAGCCTGATTGAACTCTCATGCATCCATGCATCCATGCCTCCCCTCCCCATGCGCAGTAAGCGGAGCTCAAGCCGGTGCCATGCACATCGCATGTGGATGCTGTGACTACATTTGAGGGGCCTCAAAAGTTGAACTTATGCCTCCATCCATGCCTCCCCTCCCCATGTGCAGTATGCGGAGCTCAAGCCAGTGCCATGCACATCGTATGCCGACGCTGTTGCTCTGAGGGAGGCACAGGCCACGCCCATCCTGCAGCAGGTGAGGGGGAAGCGTGCTGAGTGTGGGGTGGGGGTGGGCGCCTCCAATGTGGGGTGGGTGCGTGGCTCATCGTGTAGCATTGAACCGAAGCCAGTGCCATGCACATCGTATGCTGATGCTGTGGCTCTGAGGGAGACACAGGCCGCGCCCATCCTGCAGCAGGCGAGGGATGCGTGTGGTGAATGTGGCCCCTTGAGCAGCAGATGCTAGGCGTGGTGGTGAATGTCAGTGACTAGAGTGGGTGGCTCTCTGAGGGAGACACTGGCCACGCCACGCCCATCTTTCAGCAAGTGAGGGATGGATGCGCTGAATGTGGGCCCATACGCGCTGAATGTGGGCCCATACGCTGTGGGCCGCTTGGTTGGGTGTGGGTCGGTCATTGACCAGTGTGCCTCTGAGGAAGACACAAGCCACGACCACTGTGTGCTGCTTGATCAGCAGGTAATGTTAACGGTCATGCCTAACCAAGGTGCACCGTGCCATCACTCAGGTCCACGCCTGGAGGAGGCTTTTATTCAAGTCATGATAAGTGTTTGATCTCCTCCCTCCACCCATCCATCTGCACACCGTGTGCAGTGACATAACGCGGTTCCATCAGTGCCATCCCCTACGGAGATGAGAAGCATCTGGAGGAAGCTGCTGGTTGCTTAGTCAGATATTTCTCTCATTCCATCTTCTCACCCACGCCTCCCTCCTCCTGTCTGCCTCCCAGGTGCGCAGTGACGTCACGCGGTTCCGCTATGGAGACGAGCAGCATCTGGAGGAGGCCCTGAAGAGAATATTCCGCTACAACCTGGTGAGATAATGGTTTGCAGCAACCTGGTGACAGTCGAATCAGCCTTGAAAGACGAGGTCCTCAAGAGAAAACTCTGCTACAACCTGGTTGAAGAGTCCGATCCTCCTCCAAAATCTATCTGAATGCTACTTTACGTCCCAGCTAAATGCCCTCCTGTCCTTGCTTTGCGACGTGACACAAGCGCTTCTCTTTAGCCCTACTCCGAATCCGAGTATTTGTGCATTTTCTTTCCCAAGTGCTAGCTCCGCACTCATCACTACCATTTCCGCAAACACTCTCCCTATCTTCCTAAATAGAGGCGTCCACGAAAACTGATTTTCCTCCCTGATCCCTACACCTGTACTGCCCCTCTCCCCCCCCCTTCCTGCTGCCTTTCCTCCTCTCTTGATATCTGGCTAACGCGTGTCAATCGGAAGGCATTTTTTCAACCCGTTTTGTGCATCCCGCCCACCCTTCCTTTCCCCTTCTGCCCCCCCCCTCCTCTTCCCCCCCTTCTGCTTGACTCTCCCAACCCACCTTCGCATGGCAGTCGGGAGGCATTCAGCGCAGAAACGCACCCACACTTACCTCCATCAGCGAGCAGGTGAGAAATTAAGCAACCACACTTTCGCTACAGCTAAACCGCTGAGATATGAAGGCGTTGTGGAGTGCAACTCCCGTGTGTTTTTGTGGTTCGCTGCTGATTATCAATGCGGTAAAGACTCTTTCTCCTATGACTGTAACCCCTCTTTTGCCCATCTTGCCTTGCCCGTCTTTGGCCCCTGCGGTACTCCCTGTCTTGCCCATCTGTGAGGCCCCATTTTTCTCTAAACCGCACTTCTGTATATTCTCCAAATCTCCCTCCTTTCCAGGTGTACAACGGACGGTACTCCCTGGTGCTGATATTTGAGGCCCCGGCTCTCTCGAAAGCGGATTTCACGGAGAGGCAGGCCAAGTTCACATCCTTCTTTGGGCCGGGCGTGCAGGCCTTGATTGGTAAGGCGGGGGGGAGGCTATGTCTGCTGGTTGATTGATTGAAGATGGTGTTTGGTGTCTGTTGCACGTGGTATTGCCTTGCCTACTGGTGGCAGGTCAATACGACTTCCTTTTTGGAGTGGGTGAGCAGGCGTTGATTGGTGAGGAGAGGGAGTTAAAGGGACGGAGGTAGAGGTAGGGCGCAGAAGGGTGGGATACAGCTGGGGCTGATGGCTTTGGTGTCCGTTGTGTTCTTCTTTGGGACAGACATGCAGGCTTTGATTGGTGAAGGGGGGAGGTGATTGGAGGGAGGTAGAGGTAGGGTGCAGAAGGGTGGGATACACCTCAAGGTTGATGGCTGCTTCCTTTAAATCCCTCACACTCTTTCCTTTTAGTCCCTCGCACTCTTTCCTTTTACTCCTTCGCACTCTTTCCTTTTAGTCCCTCGTACTCTTTTCCTTGTATTACCTCGCACTGTTTCCTGTTATTCCCTCACGCTCTTTTCCTTTTATTCCCTTGTACTGTTTCCTGTTATTTCCTCGCACTGTTTCCTGTTATTCCCTCGCAGTCTTTCCTTTTAGCCCCTCGCACTCTTTCCTTTTGTTCCCTCGCACTCTTTCCTTTCAATCCCACTTTCTCTGATTCCGCCCCTCACTTACTTCCCCACTCCCTTCCTCTCCCCCTCTTACTCCTTTCCCCTCACTGCTTACGCTCCTCCTCCCATTGATGACCATCACTGTCTTCCCACTCTCCCACCAAAGCTACTTTACCAACCCCCCTTCTTTTTCCACCTCATTCCGTTTCCTGCTGCCCCCTCAACTCTGCATTCCCATCCTCCCGATCCCTCTTTTTCTCCAACCCCCCTCCCTGTCCTCGCTTATCCCCCCCCTCCCTCCCTCCTGCGCATCACAGAGGAGGTGGGATCCAAGACCTTTGCCGTGCGCCTGGTGTCAACCTGAGCTGGCAAAATTTACTTAGTTAATGCACCGAAGTTGTGAGCCGGCAAGCCTTAAAGCCCGGGGTCAGCATGGTAAATTATCAAGTTATGTGTATTTGAAATAGGCTGTATGCGAGATCTGCGAAGCCTATTTCGGTTGGCTGCCCTTGGCGAGAACAATTTTCCGCCGCAAACAAGTGAACATTTCGCACTCACCAATCCTGCGAATCCCACCAACCCAAAGCGACAAATGTGTCGCACACATCCTCTCTCACACATCCTCTCTTGCATCGAGCATGGAAAGTGTTGCTCAACCGAAGTCACCTCACCACAGAATCAGCTCGATGCTAACGGGAAATAGAAAAACTGAGCAAGCAAAGCACGTGCTGGTTATCAACGCCACCTACTCAACGCCACAACAGAAACGTGTTCGAGACGATCCTTACCCCATATTACTTGGGTAACGACCATCGCAGGAGGTGGCAACAGCAAAGTGTAGAAACGTGCAAGCGCGATTGCACTAACGGGAAGAAGGTCGTGATGACAGACTGGAGACTACGGGTAGCTAGGCACAACAAGAAACGACGAGTGTATTGGAGTCGTTGTGACTAGCCAGGGGGAAGAAAGCGGACTAGATTCGGCTCGCGCACCAAGCGCCGAGCAGCACTCGCTCGCCACATTTAGCTGCTCGCGTTCTGTGTGACGCGGGGCCCGCATTCCTCGCGACGCGGAGCCCGCATTCCTCGCGACGCGGATCTCGCATTTCAGGCGGATCTGATCCCGCCCTCCAGTCGACGCGGAGCCCGCGTTCCCGGCGACACGGAGTCCGCATTCTAAACCCACCTGTTCAGTCCCAAGGCAGCAGCACCTCTGGATGCCCAAGGCGAATATCAGGCGAGCTTTCAAACCCGCGCGAGGCTTGCTCGGCATCACGCAGAACCACCACGACGCCCACCACGACAATCGACCCCCCCAAAGGTATTTGACAAACGCCCATCGCCCACCATGCTATAACTTGGCCTGCTCAGCTCTCCCATTCCCTACCATGCCCTGTTTGGTCTCGCCTCGATCTTGTCTACTCCACCTCGGCATGCCACTCCCCATCTTCCCTGTCCTGCCCCGCACCTCCTTTCCCTGCTCCAACTAAACATGCCATGCTATTCCAGGAGATGCCCTGCCCTGCCCTGCCCTGTCATGCCCTACCCTGCACTGCCCTCCCCTGCCCTGCCCTGCCCTGCCCTGTCCTGCCCTGAGCTGCCCTGCCCTGCCCTGCCATGTCCTGCCCTGCAATGCCCTGTCCCGCCCCGCCCCGCCCTTGTCAGCACCCTCATTTTTCTGCGATGCCATGACTAGAGGGGCCATGCCTGCCCTGCTTTCTCATGGCCCGCCCTGCCCTTGTCTGCACCATCCGCGTCATGCCATGCCTCTCCCATGCCATGCCATGCCCTGCCCTGCCCTCCCCTGTCATGCTCCGCTCCGCCCTTCTCCCTCCCCCCCTCCAGGCATGCCCTGCCATGCTCTGCGGATGAGATTATTCATTGCTACAGGGACACCACCCTAAATTCTGGCTTATCCTCCTTCTCATTGGCTATAGCTGCAGGTTACCACTGTGAGAGGGATAAGGCGGAATTGCCATCGGATCAAGGGGATGATGTGGCAGACGCAGTGATAAAAGATGCGGAGGAGTGGAGCGACGATAGTGATGAGTGGTGGCTAGCAGGCCACTATGACGGGGAGGAAGTGGAGGTGTGGGTGGCAGGTCAGGATGAATAAATGGGGTTGTGTTTCCATCCCCACTGTGCTAATGTGGTCTTGAACATGTCATGCTTGAATGTGTGTGGAGGACTATGCCATTCTGTCCTAAACCTAATCATGCTAAGAGCGAAATAAACCTGCACATATTATAGTTGCAATATACGGTACGTTACACGTGCGGATGAAGTTAGCCCGGTGAAACTACTCCATTGCTTCGATTCTTGAGACCCTAATCCAGCTCATGTTCCATTCTGCCTAGGGCACTAGCTTGTTTGGTATCCCAAAAAGGATATATCCATGATGATGTGTAACAGTTATCTTACTCCAAAGGTGTCAGTGCCCAGCTCTGTTTGCACTTTATTGCAAATTATTGCCGAGGTAACCACTTGGCATCCAATGTACACTACTTCAGGATGGCTTATACTTGCATTTCACAAGGACCTCGTTCACAATGCGCAGTGAAGTGAGCCACAGTACTGGAATCGACACACCAGTTAGCCTGCCAACACATGGCAGATGCATGGGTGGGATAGAAGGCGCACGACTTGAGGGCTCAAAAATTTACCGGTAGTAGCTCAGAGTAGGAGCAGACGAACCAGTGGCAGCTATAGGATCTCTGGAGGGACTTGCTGCTGCTCTTGAAGCAGAAAAGCAGGAGTGCAAGGGCTGACAGCAGCGGTGCAAGGGCTGACAGCAGGGGTGCAAGGGCTGACAGCAGGGGTGCAAGGGTGGAAAGCAGGGGTGCAAGGGTGGGAAGCTGGGGTGCAAGGGTGGGAAGCAGGGGTGCAAGAGCGGAAAGCAGGGGTGCAAGCGTGGGAAGCAGTGCATAGGTGGAAAGCGGGACCAGACGAAACAGTGACAATTTGAATTCACATTAGCGGTGGGTATGAGAGGAGTGGGTGATATGAAGGGAGTGGGAAGTTTGGAACGAGGGTGTAGGGATATGAGAGGAGCAGGGGGTATGAGGGGACTGTGCGGGGTATGAGAGGAATGGGGAGTATGAGAGGAGTTGGGCGTACGAGGGGAGTGCGGGGTATGAGAGGAATGGGGAGTATGAGAGGAGTTGGGCGTACGAGGGGAGTGCGGGGTATGAGAGGAATGGGGAGTATGAGAGGAGTTGGGCGTACGAGGGGAGTGCGGGGTATGAGAGGAATGGGGAGTATGAGAGGAGTTGGGCGTACGAGGGGAGTGCGGGGTATGAGAGGAATGGGGAGTATGAGAGGAGTTGGGCGTACGAGGGGAGTGCGGGGTATGAGAGGAATGGGGAGTATGAGAGGAGTTGGGCGTACGAGGGGAGAGCGGGGTATGAGAGGAATGGGGAGTATGAGAGGAGTTGGGCGTACGAGGGGAGTGCGGGGTATGAGAGGAATGGGGAGTATGAGAGGAGTTGGGCGTACGAGGGGAGTGCGGGGTATGAGAGGAATGGGGAGTATGAGAGGAGTTGGGCGTACGAGGGGAGTGCGGGGTATGAGAGGAATGGGGAGTATGAGAGGAGTTGGGCGTACGAGGGGAGTGCGGGGTATGAGAGGAATGGGGAGTATGAGAGGAGTTGGGCGTACGAGGGGAGTGCGGGGTATGAGAGGAATGGGGAGTATGAGAGGAGTTGGGCGTACGAGGGGAGTGCGGGGTATGAGAGGAATGGGGAGTATGAGAGGAGTTGGGCGTACGAGGGGAGTGCGGGGTATGAGGAATGGGGAGTATGAGAGGAGTTGGGCGTACGAGGGGAGTGCGGGGTATGAGAGGAATGGGGAGTATGAGAGGAGTTGGGCGTACGAGGGGAGTGCGGGGTATGAGAGGAATGGGGAGTATGAGAGGAGTTGGGCGTACGAGGGGAGTGCGGGGTATGAGAGGAATGGGGAGTATGAGAGGAGTTGGGCGTACGAGGGGAGTGCGGGGTATGAGAGGAATGGGGAGTATGAGAGGAGTTGGGCGTACGAGGGGAGTGCGGGGTATGAGAGGAATGGGGAGTATGAGAGGAGTTGGGCGTACGAGGGGAGTGCGGGGTATGAGAGGAATGGGGAGTATGAGAGGAGTTGGGCGTACGAGGGGAGTGCGGGGTATGAGAGGAATGGGGAGTATGAGAGGAGTTGGGCGTACGAGGGGAGTGCGGGGTATGAGAGGAATGGGGAGTATGAGAGGAGTGGGGGGAGTCCACTGTATGGAATGAGTGGGGGGTATGAGAGGAGTGGGGAGTATGAAAGGAGTGGTGGGTATGAGAGGAGTGGGGAGTATGAAAGGAGTGGGGGGTATGAGAGGACTGGGAGTATGAAAGGAGTGGGGGGTATGAGAGGAGTGGGGAGTATGAAAGGAGTGGGGGGTATGTTGCAGCATGCCGCTGGTCACTGAGATTGCACACAAGTCACTGAGATTGCACACAAGTCATTGAGATTGCACACAAGTCACTGAGATTGCACACAAGTCACTGAGATTGCACACAAGTCACTGAGATTGCACACAAGTCACTGAGATTGCACACAAGTCTGCTGCGCTGCCCCCCTGTTGCGCGTGCGTCCCCCCTTTTCTTTGCGATTGTACATGAGGAGGGAGAGGATGGGGGGGGAAGCAGGGAAGGGGATGGGGGGAAGCGGGGAAGGGGATGGGGGGAAACCGGGGAAGGGGATGGGGGGAAGCAGGGAAGGTGATGGGGGGAAGCAGGGAAGGGGATGGGGGGGAAGCAGGGAAGGGGATGGGGGGAAACAGGGAAGGGGATTGGGGGAAGCAGGGAAGGGGATGGGGGGAAGCAGGGAAGGGGATGGGGGGAAGCAGGGAAGGGGATGGGGGGAAGCACGGGACGGGATGGGGGGAAGCAGGGGAGGGGATGGGGTGAAGCAGGGAAAGGGAAGGGGGGAAGCAGGGCAGGGGATGGGGGAAAGTAGGGAAGGGGATGGGGGGAAGCAGGGCAGGGGATGGGGGGAAGCAGGGAAGGGGATGGGGGGAAGTAGGGAGGGGGATGGGGGGAAGCAGGGTAGGGGATGGGGGAAAGCAAGGAAGGGGATGGAGGGAAGCAGGGAAGGGGATGGAGGGAAGCAGGGAAGGGGATGGGGGAGAGCAGGGGAGGGGACGAGGGGAAGCAGGGAAGGGGATGGGGGGAAGCAGGGAAGGGGATGGGGGGAAGCAGGGCAGGGGATACGGGGTAAGAGGGGATAGGATGGGGGGAAGCACGGCAGGGGATACGGGGAAACAGGGAAGAGGATGGGGGGAACGGGGGCAGATGCCGGGGAGAGAGCTGGGGGGAGGATGGTGGGGAGCAGAGAGGGAATCAAAACGCTGTTCGATTGTGGTGGCGGAAGCGACCACCTCTGTTTCTCCCCATCCGTTCCTCCCCATCCGTTCCTCCCCATCTGTTCCTCCCCATCTGTCCCACCCCTTCGGATGGTATGAGGGAGGAAGGATGGGCTGGAGGTGGTGAGATGGGGAGAGGGAAAGAGCGGATGGAAACACGGATGACGAGGGGAAGCGCGAGTGACTGGGAGGCAAGCCCGACAACGGGACGCGCGGGCGACGAGGGGAGGCGAGGGCGGTGAGGGTCGGCACGGGTGATGAGGGGAAGCGCGAGCGACGAGAGGGAATGTCGGTGACGAAGGGAGGTGAGGGCGGCGAGGATCGGTGTGGGTCGACGAGGGTGATGAGGGGAGCGCGGGTGACGATCTGAAGTGCGGTATGTTTACTACTGGCAATTGCGACGAGGGGATGTGTGGTTAACGTGGGAGAGCATGGGCCACTACGGGAACATATGCGACCAGAGGGTCGGGGAGGGTAATGAGGGAAAGCACGGGCGACGAGGAAAGCGGTCTGACGTGGGCAAGAGCGGCCGACGAGGAGGAACATGTGCGACTAACGGCTGAGTGCGTTACGCGAACCAGTACAGCATTCGCGTGAGCGACCCGTGCCTAAAACGGTACGATCGTGACACGAGGCTGAATGGCAGCAAGTGTGACAAGATCCTGCGTGTGCGACACGAGCTTGAATGCAAGACTGGAGTAACGCGAATCTCGTTTTCTAACGTAAGTGCCGTGGGTGTACGGGTTGTAACACGCGACCGGTGACGTGAGGGAGAGATTAGAGCGTGCACTGACTAACATGGTTGAGGTGGACTTATATTTCCTTCAGCACCCAAAAAAAACACCTATCAACGACTCGTTTTTGCCAACTAGCGCTAGTTTTTGCCTTAGTTCAGTCCTAGCCTATGAGTACTACTTAGTAAGCAAGTTATGTGAGTGGTGAATAGTACAAATGGTTGGCGATCATTGCGTCAGTTCTGGTTTTGGGCACTCGGGTTCCGTTGTCGCAGGACGATTGCCTGGGGACGCGAGAACTTTCTCAAAACAAGTAGGGTAACCCTGTTATTGGCGACTTCAAGTTCAAGAATCTTGAACCTGAAAATTACCATGCTGTACTCGGGCTTTAAGCCACCGAGTAGAATCCACCTTGGCAGCTGCATGGATGGGTGTGGCTGAGGCCTGGTTGAGGGCAGTGCCTCATGGCCATGCATGGGACAATGCTGCGAATACCAGGACATACTAGTTGGACTCAAGCAAGTTGTTTTTAAAAATGTTAACTTATGCATATTTCAAAGATGTTACGTCAGATCTTTGAGGACTTGAATAAATCCGCTCACCCGTCTTTCGCGAAAAGCCCTGGTTTCGCCGAGACACTCTAAGGTGCTGAGCGGCCGCCATATCATGACAGGTCGCCCACCGTGGAGAGTAAATGAGTCGCCCTTCTACGGGTGAGGTTTTTGGCCGACTGAATCGTCGACCAGAGCTCTTCAGTGCAATGTTACACGCCCTTTCAGACCGCCCTTCTACGGGTTGGACCCAGACCAATCGACAGCCCTGTTCCCCACCCCCTCCCAATTACCTCTCACCCCCACTAACATCCCAAATATGTGCGAGGAAAAAAACTACGATTCGAATACCTAGTAGATACTTTCCAGTACCGTATTCTCCCGGACAAAACACCCCCCCGTAATTGTACACCCCCGGGTAGCTTGTGCGGGGTGGGTGTTATGATAGACCTCGTTTCTACTATACCCCACTTTTTGGCTGATTTTCTATAACACCCCCCTTTTCTTACGAATTCGTTATGATAGTCGTTAACGAGTAACTGCAATACGGAAGAATATCGCGAAAAATTCTCCCTAGATGAAATTTCGCGGTACATTCACTTACAATCTACCGAGATTTCCCCCCTCCCACTACTTCGGAGTCGCCACATGCAAGCGAATCTTCCGCTGCAAGTGGCAAGAGATGTGCCACATGGCATTTTCGTAGGGGTGATGAAGTTCGTGGCCGAAACTCACATTCGCGCCTCAGAGAGTGATGTTAAAATGAAAATCAAAACACCCACATTGTCTAATCAAATAAACATTAACACTAAAATATACCATATGTAAAGACCCGGGTATTACCGTATGTATTTTTTTCCTATGAGGAGACCCCCCCCATTTTTTCCCTGTATTTTTAGCTATACCCTAGGGTGTTATGTCCGGGAGAATACAGTAGGTTTCAAAACATGATTTTTTTTTTTTTTTTTTTAAAGCTGTATCGTATGGCCCCGGATATAAGGGCATGTTCCTACGGCCCCTTATCAGGCCAACCTCTTATCAAGCTCGCTACTTTTACCACTGAAAATTTCCTAAACCCGAAACCCTCGCTACTTTTACCAGGCAAGGCTGACAAGAGGTTTGCCTGATACGAGCGTAGGAACACGCCCTAAGCGCAAGCCTATTAAAGGCGCATGCGCTTGTATCTGGAGCAATGCGCTTATGGCCGATCCTCAATTATAAGCGCACCCCCTGAGAAATCAGTACTTATTATAAGCGCACCCTTTTTATTTAAAAAAATTATTGATTCTTTTAAACAACATATCCTACATTTTCTAATCTTTCCATTAATTAGGACAATCACATACACTAGAGGTCTCTGCTTTTCAGCCTACACATCTTTCAACCTGTCTAGTCTACCCTATGGCCTACTCCTCCTCCTCGTCCGACTCAGGCTCCGTGGAGTTGTTGTCCCAGAACCCATCTGCCTGGATATCGTCGTCCACCTCCACCTCATGGGACAACTGGCCTCTCCGGTGCGCCAACACCAGTTTGTCTTCGCTCCCGTCAAGTGCGTTGCTGATGCCGCACGTGAGGAAGGCTTTCTTGATCAGGTCGACGGGCACAGCCTTCCACGCCCGTGAAATCCACTTGAGCACCACCTCCGGAGGTGGTTTCCTGATGTTCCCTGCATCACACGGAATGAGGCGGGGAAGACATGAGTGCATCAACAGGCATACAAGCAGACGATATAAAAACAGTAGGACATGTCGTCACTCACCTGCCGGGGTCAGGATGTTCATCCCGTCCTGCTCAAACCAATTCTGATACTGCTGACGAACGCTTGCCTTGAAGCTCTTGTTGATCGACACATCGAGCGGCTGCAGGTCTGCCGTGCACCCTGCTGGGATGATCGCAGGCACGATGTTGAGCGCCGCAAATTTCGCTTTGATTTCGGGTGTCAAGTGACCGCGGTAGGAGTCGAGCACCAGCATGGCGCTACGACTCTGCAGGCCGAATTTCGGCTTCAGGAACGGCACCACGCCCGCATCGAGCCACTCGATGACGCCCGCGGCCTCCATCCACCCGTTCGCTTGGCAGCCGACCACAACATCTACACGCAGGAGAACGACGGGTTAGAACGACTCCGGTTTAACGGCCAAAACAGGCGCATAAACATCTTACCGTTCGGGAAGTCACCCTTGGGGAGTGTCTTGCGCTTGAAAAACACCCACGGCTTCAACTTCTTGCCAGTCGCCGTGCATGCAAGCATTACGGTGACTCTCTCCTTCTGGTACCCATCGCTGTGGATGGGCACCGACCTCACGCGCGTCTGCTCCACGGTGGTCGTCGCCGTCATCTCCAACCACAGCGGTGTCTGGTCGACGTTGATGATGTAACGGTTGTCAATGTCGTATTCGTTCCGGGCGTCGCGTACGTACTGCCAGAAGTCTTTGCACTGCTCCTCCACGTCTGCGCACATGGAGGGAAGGACACATAAGGAGCGTGATTAGTATCGCGCACATGAGACAGGCAACAAAGCAAAAAAGCAAACTCGGCATTCATCGTAATCAACGGTTAAACATCCACTTACGCTCCTGTGTTTTCTGCGCCACCTTTGTTTTCATGCGCACACTGAGGTTCCACCGCTTGCGGAAGCGCTCCGTCCACCGCTGACTGCCTTTCCACTTGACGTCGGGGAACAGCACCTTCATCACTTCTTTGGACCACTCTTGCAGCCGGCCGACCGGAACCGCAACTCCGCGGCGTCGCCAGTCGAGGAGTTGTGCGTACACCTTTAACTCCATAGGTCGGTACCAAGACGACCTCCCGCGCCCGTGAAGTCGCATCCGTGCGCCGTGTGCAGCCTTCAGCGCATCCGCCTGGGATTTCCACTCCGTGAGGCACTTCCGGTATATGCCGGACTCCCGCGTCACTTCGCTCACTGATGCCGCAAGCTCGAGTCGTACGAGCCACCTCAATTTCTCCTGGGCGGTGTAGGACTGCCGCTTATGTTGAGTCTGCTTGTGCCTGGGGGAGGGGGGGCGGGCATCTCGATTCTCGGAAGACGGGTGGGGGCGTTTTTTGTTAATGAGCGGATACGTCGGTATCGACATCTTCTCGCGTGGTGCGTCGCGCCACCAGGACTCCACACCGTCATCGTCTTCAGCAGTTGTGTCACGGTATGGGAAGACGTCTTCCTCGTCGCCCGCTGCACCGTCGCCTCCAGCTTCGCCGGCGCCGCTGTCATGTTTGTCGGCGGCCACATCATCGTCGGCGCCCACAGCCAACTCATCCCACGAGCAGGCTTCTGGTTGTCCCCACCGTGGTGCAGGCGCCGGAGCTTGGATGCGTGCATCGGGGGCCTTGGGTGTGTCCGCTTCAGCCAACCATTCGTCGAATGTGGCCGGTAAATACAGTTGGAGCACGGGCCGTTGGTGAGCACCTAACAAAACAGACTCAGGCGGATTCAGAGGAGCGGGAGGTGCGGGAGGAGCGGGTGGAGCAGGAGGTGCAGGAGGAGCAGGAGGAGCAGGGGGTGCAGGGGGATCTGGTGGCACTGGAGGCGCTGGTGGCTCACGGGTATACCACCCGTCCTCGGTGAGTCGCCATGTGCGGCGTGGCTTTTTCTTGAAGAGGATGTGAGTCCCACTAAATTCCGCCATGGCTTCGCCTGCCAGGCGGGGTTGACAAGAATCTGAATGAAAAAATTAGAGAAGAGGGTGAAGAAATGGGCAACGACGGTGACCCCTGCTGCGTGGCGGCTCGGGTTCCTCGTCGATGACAGGCAGGAAACCCCCGCCTACTCCCGTAGAGGCGCCTGCGTGGCAGCATCTACGCTGCGCTGGTAGGGAATCTTGCCGAACCTTCGAGATGGTTCTGCCCGAATGCACATGCCACGCAGCGCATGCGGCTCTGATTGGGCCGCACGGCAACATCCTCGTCACGCTGTCAAATTCGATGGTTCCAGACAACATTGTGCGGTGGGAAACCGAACCGCAGCTGTTTTTGCCTGAAAACCATGCACGATCCCACTTGGTGCATGGTCGGTTGAGTTCGCCTTATTCAGAGCTTCACTTTGGTATGTTCAAAAGTAAATTTCATTTTTTCCCTTATACAAGCGCATGCGCTTATAAATCTGACTCAATTAGAAGCGCACCCCCCCAAAAAACACTGTTTTATTATAAGCGTAGGTGCGCTTATATTCGGGGTAATACGGTAACGCCTCTCAAAATTTTGTATTTTGAAAACGAAGCTGCTTGTAATGTAGGAATGGGCAGAGTCGAATCGCGCTAAACGCCCGTTTTGGAGTACAAAACGTGGGCTGGAGGTCATTTCCCTCCACCCACGCCTCTCATTTTCAAATGGTTTAACCAATTTTCCCGCCCACCCACCCCTCGGAACCAGCGACAACGTAGGAAGTGTTTGTTTATTGTCAGAATGTTATTATTGTCTAGTCTGCAGTAGGGTACTCGATAGTGAGTACTGTCAAATTATAATGTTGTCTAGGCTTTAGTGGGGTAGCCCATATGGGGTACACATTTCTAGGGTTGCATATTTGTATCACTCTCATTCCATAGTCATTTCATTCTCGTTCTAATTTCCTCATGGTATCGAGCAGGTTCCTGTCAGAATATTATTCTTATGTTCTAGCCTGTAGTGGGGTGCTCTATAGCGAGTACAACCCTTCTAGGGTTTGCTATTTGTATCCCCATTCTTGCTAGTTCAATCCTCTTTCTTTCTTCTAACTTTTGTCAGTTCCCTCGTGGGAACTGTGCCTAGGGCCCACCACATCGAGATTTTTTTTTTTTTTCTTTCCTGCCCGGAGCGCGCTCCCCGAGTCGCGCTCCCCTCTCTGCCCTCGTCGAGCCGCCCTAGCGGCCCCGTCTGTCGCC